GTATTCATTTAATATGTGATGCTCTAGTTTTGTGGATGATGGTTTGACTTTAGGACATCAATGATTATTAGTTATTTCTCAAGATGTGTTCTGTATTTGAGGTTGTTATCTTGTTAAAAAAAAATTTTTGGTGCCGCTGATGTCTAGTTGTCTCGTACATCGCAGCTTAAAGAATTTTTTTGCTGTCTCAAAAATTAAAAGATGGTGCAAATTAATGTTCAGTTTATTTGTACGTGAGATTGTCATATGTTCAGATGTTGTTGTGAATTATTTGAATGGACAGAAAGATGTATCATCAAGATGGACATGAAACAATAGTTTGACTTGTCACAGTTCATGTATGGCATCTTGGCAAAATTGAGGCTATCGTTTGAAAGGAAATTCAATCTCTATGTACAGTATTTTTCTTTGAAAGAAATGTAATATAATTGGTTCCTTGATAAATATCACAAATGAGAATTTTTGCCAAAAAAAAAAATCGTGATTATTCAATATTGCAACGGGAGGAATTTCTGGGACACAATTGTACATGTTCAGTTGGGGAGGCAGATTTGAGATGAGGGGGTGCCAAACAGATGAATCAGAGATTTGCAAAAAGATGACGAGGTTACGATCTTAACAGTCGTCGGTGATGATGAACAGGTCTTCGTTTTACAACATGCGAGGCCATATGTGTTTTATTCTGTGGCAGCTTGTTTTCAAATGGTGATGTTCTAAAAAAAAGAAGTTAAACAGTTCATTCATTATTCACGGTACTGTGATTCTCATTGAAGGTGTCCCATTTTTTTTAAGGATCTTTTGAGACAGTCCCTCGTGACTGAAAGGTAGGTACTTTATAATGAAGTGCTGGATTATGACCAAAAAAATAAAACTAGTATTGTATTTGGGAAGGGACTTTTAAAAAATTGTTTTTACAACAGCAGTACTGTGTTTATTGAGGACTAGGGATTGCATTGTCAACAGTGTGTTACGACCAGAGACTTTTAATTCAATGTTACATATGTCGTATCTAGATATGTGTGATTGTGTTTTCTGTCACAGAGTTCTTTTTAATGACGACAGGAAATTATGCTAGTCTTTCTCATCCTATCACATTGCTGCTGAAGCCGAGTAAGGACGGAAGTGAAGGAGAAATGTACTTGTGTTTTGTTTTTTGTGTATTCATGTCCTTAAAATAGCCACAGTGACAGTTTTACGTCAAGAAATTGAAAAATGAGCATGCGGTTTTCGGAGTGGATACTAGGCAAAATGTGCATCGAATCTGCTTATTACCAATGATTATAAAATTTTTGTGAGCAATATTGTGAAAAATGTCAAAAGCTGTTCGTCGTTTGAGTAAAGTTTGGGTAAGTTTATTTGATAGATGTGTTTTTAGATTCATAAATGGATGATATTGCATCAATAAAGCTAAGTTTTAAATTAATTAATAACAACCTAGTTTTTTTTCTCAGTTTTTAAAGTCATCTGAGTGGGAAATATGAATTATTAGACTAGAAGATATTTTTCTTGCTTTGCAAATTCTGTTTGTTCTAGGACCTGAATTTGTACATCAGAATTGAGGATACTGTAAGAGTATGAATGTGATGGCACAGTAGGCTTCTTTATATATATATCAGCATATGAGTAATGATGACACATTTATTTGAAACTCTTGTGTTTTATCATTCCTCACTCAAAAAAGATACTATATATCATGACTTTGAGCATTGATGAGGGTATACATTATATATGTTACCTTAAACTGCATGCTATGCTGTAATCTTGAAGTGTTGATTGATATTTTGAAATTTTAAAGAGGTCTGATTACTATGTCCATGTTCATTTAAATGCATATTATTTTGCAAACAATGGTTTAGGATTAGGTTTACAGTTATGGCTAACGCTGGCCTAAAAGACATGAAATACATTGTAATATCACATTGTAATACATGTATTATGATAATGACAATATTGTCTCTTGCTTGAGAGACGTGGAACTAAATTAATTAATTCAGCTAATTAAGGCAGGGACAACTTGAAATCTCGTTTCTAACTACCGGTTAACAAATCAAGTTTAACCAAGTTCAAAATTTTCATACAGACAGACTGACAAATATTGATTGAAAGATTTAGATTTAGTGGTTAATTAAAAGTAAAAATTAAACAAGAATTGTGGCAAGGCGTACAGCTTTACTGTACAATAGATAAATAAATTTACGTCTGTATGCTTGAACTTTAGGAAGCGACTCCGTATGTATGTAGTAAATAGTTGAAGTGGGTCAACATTCCATGAATTCAGTGATAAAAAAAGTTTATTAACAAAGTTGTTTTATGAAAGGTGAGGTGTGTATCGCAGATAATGAAATTGATAAACTCTGATAAACAATCCTTATCAAACCAATACACAACATTTTAGATGTATCATTGAATTGATAAAGGATGTTTCATCATCATTAAAAAAAAAGGAAAAATACCTCTTATGAGAAAAGCTTTCAAATAGTATTGTTTTTGAAAGGGATATAAAGGTATGAATTTAGATGTGTAATTTTATTAAGGTGAAATTGTCTGTCAGATTTGAATACATGACAGTTGAAAAAATAAATTAATGTACCTGTCTGCATGAGTAGACTGGTTGTAATAAATAAATTATGGTTAGCTAGGTGCTGTTAACATGGTTAAGACAATGTTCTCCATGAGTCTTAGAAGTTCATGGTGATGTTTTGTTCAGAGCTGATGAACATAATCACTTAAAAAATCAAAAGGCATTGCCTATTCCATGCTATTAAAGTGAAACCCAAGAATATGATAAACTGAGTATATTCATTTACAGTGAACACTCTCTCTCTCTCTCTCACTAGGAGGTAAATTACATCCATTTCCAGTGTTTCTTTCAGACTTGGTTCTGATGAGGTAAAAATTCTTCCCATTGTTTGTAGGGTTTACTGTAATCATGTAAACAGCTGATGATGAAAGTCTTCACACAGATTATTAGCTCAGGCAGTACTTGTGTTTCTTTAATCTCATTGTCTGTCTGGATTCCTGGCTGTTTTTTCTAGGGTTGGAAACAGCTTTGTTCCTTGATGCGTATAAGTTGGCTTGTCTGATGTTGGCTGTTAATCACATTGCTTTGTAAAACCGTAATTAAAACATATGCTCAGTAAACATTGGGGATCAAGAATCCTCCTGTTTCTTCCTATTGAAAAATTCCATTTTATTATGGATCAGTTTTTTCTATAGTCCTGATATATGAATTAGTTTAAAACTTATAAGGTGTATTGTTGCATCATTCCGAGTCTGTTCCATCTTAGTAAATAAATTGCAAGAATGAATTATATAAATCCGGAAGATTAGAAACATTCATGCTAGAGAAACTTTAAAGGTATGGGCCCCTTGTATATATATCTACATTGTTTGACTTTTGTCAATGCGATGCATCTAAAGGTGTATGGCTGCACGAACACCTAGGTATTTATGACTGTATACAGAGTCTATGGACACCCTACACAAACGTTCATAACATAACGCAGCAACACAGATCAAGTTACCATTCCACAGCTTATACATTATATAAATATACACAATTTTCTCACTGCCAAAATATGGATGTTAATTTTTCATTCTAAATGATGGAGGAAGGTAGCAATTCCCTTGGACAGTTGAGTTTTTATTGGTTTGGGCATACCGGTAATAATTATCTTCATGGACAGGTACTCATTTTTCTGAGTTTTTAACTTTTATATAATTTGTTTATATGTAATGACTCATTCTGAAAAACTAGGAAGTCAAACCGGGTTCTGCTTGCACTAAAAGTTTAAAAAAAAATATTTTATTTAAATAAATGTACATTTAATAGTTTTAGAATCAAATGATAAATTTGCTGTACCCACATGGCAATTATATTCAGCTATCAGGCACTTAGTTCTAGATGAGTCAAATTGGGCTTTGTTGTGTTGCAAGGTTATTTCATAGTTGTTATTCAAAAGTATGCTGGATCTTTTGACATGTTTTAAAGAGGTTTTTCATCTGATTGTATTGTTGAAGTGTTTGAAACTGACCACTCTTCTGTCATTAAAGTGTAGGATTGACCCTTCAAATGCCACAGTCTTCAAGCTGAAGTTTGAGCGTATCTGATTTTTTTTTCTCCATCTTGCAGATTGACATTTTGTTATGGAAATAGTTTTGTGTACCACCCCGATTGATAAATTCTGATTTTACAAAGTTAAGATAGAAAGTACTAAAATTTCTCTAAGCAAATATGTGTGACATGACTGTGTTAAACTAAATTTTTTTTAACCCTGGAAACACTCTAGGGGTGCTTATACGGAGGGGTAGGGACACTTAATGGTGAGAATATAGTACGTGTTACTGGAATCCTGTCTTTTTTCGCAGGAAGTGTAATTTTTGCTTTTTTAAGTTACACATTTTATAGAAATATCTGTGTCCCTAAGCTTCTTTTTGCTTTCAAGATGTTGAAATACTTGTTCATAGCGTCATTATCTCCAGTAAACCTGCAAAGATTTGTCATATGGGAAAAAATGTTGATTTACAAAATGCTTTCTGAAGTATTACATATTGCATGTTTTGGAGTCCTTAGAAAAAGGATACATGCAAATTTTCGATGTATTTGAGATCAGTTCTATAAAACAGTGACTTTACATGTGAACAAGACCAGTCATAACACTGAACATTCCTATTGTAATGGCATATCGCTATGTGCTTCTATATTTATTAATTGCCCACTGGGTTAAAAGAAGATATTTATTTCTGCAAGACTAGACAATGAATAATTAAGCTGTCTCCTCGAGTACACTGTAAATGGAATTTAAAAGCATGCATTGTTACAATATCATTTTTTGGTTGTGGGGGTTTGAAATAATTGAATGTACAGATATATATATATATATATATATATATATATATATATATATATATATATATATATATATATATATATATATATATATATATAATAAACTGAAGCACAACATTTTTAAATATGTATTGTTTTCATTTACTTTCAGATGAATGAAGGTCGTAAGAGTCAAATAGTTCTACCAGATGAGCGAAGACTAGACCTTCTGATCCAGGTAACTATACAAGAATTAATTACAGTTGAGAAATTTAAAACAAAAGCAAGGAGTGACAAGAAACCTGGCCCACTAGCAGACTGAAGGATCGCATTTACTGCTTGGTTAGCGATATGTATAGGGACAGTCTCCAAAGTGTGTGAACATTTCAAATTGATGTGTATTTTATATTATTTCTTGATTTATTTAGTATAAAGTAGAGGGGAAAAAAGATGAATAAATCCACCATGTTTTGTGTTAATACGGCTCGGGGGGCATTATTGAGTACTATCTTTGAGCATGTTGAGATCTAGGCACAAGATTTTGCTGAGTTTGCAGATACAACTTTGAACTTTTAAAAATTGATATAGTACTGCAGGTTAAGACGTCTGTTTAAAAGGGGAGGACAAATTGATTTACTTTTTACAGATGGGGGAATGAGATATTTAGATAATACTTTTGTTAGTTGATGGGAATTCTCAATATTAATTGCCTTCAATGTTGCCTTGAATTGAATTGAAATTTATCTAAAACTGTTGGAAAAATAAAAAAAAAAAATCTAATGTGTGGAATGTCATTGAGTAAATTCCAGACCCTCTTTGCACTTTTTTCAAAGTTCAAGAATCACAGATAACTTATGGATTATGACCCCATTAATGTGTTTTTGGAAACAGAAAAAAGAATCAGCAACTTTGTCTTGTTTTTTTTTTATACTATAAAAAAAGATTATGATAACACTGTTGTATGCATTATCCTTTTGAACTGAATTTAATTTAAAGAATCAAGAAGTAAGATGCACATTAGTAAACCACCTTCCTCTGTTTTAAAACAGCAGTGGCACAGATTTAGAGCTGCGGGTATTTTTTCTCATGCACTTAGTGCTCACTTCATTCTAATGAACAGATGTCTCGGGAGATAGGGGCGCTATAAATACAATGTACTTAGAATCGTAGTCTGCAGGCTATTGATTAGTTGTCTTGTAACAGTGCCTAGTACACAGTAGCAGTACTAATTGTAAGGATGTGCTCAGCAGCTCAACCTACATATATAATCAGTTACCAGGGCTTTCAAAGAGATTAGAAACAGGCGGTACTTTTACAAAAATAGGAGGTATCTTGTGAAAGCAATTTTAATTAAATATGTTGCTGAATTTTTCTCAGTCGAATATTTTGGCTGGCATAATCATGACTTCAGCCAGGTAAAAGTACTGGGTACCAGCAGATTTCGAAAGGCCTGCAGTTACTAATTGACTTGACATTGAAACAGACATAACAGCAAATTTTAGAAAAACCCACATTTTAAATGATAAATGATAGTTTTAAAAAATTGGGTGTAGTTGAATAGTATCATTCAATCTTCTTTTAAATTATTTCAAGTGCATTTTTGTTGAGAAGATAACAAATAGAATATTTCGTGACAGGCTGTGTTAGTCTTGCCTGGATTTTCCACAGATAGTAAGATAAGCTTGCTGGAGTTATCTCTCTTTACATCATATAATTTTCCTTCTTTCAGCCCAAGTTAACATCCAGGGACCTTCTAGATCTTGTGGCATCCCACTTCAAGTTAAAAGAAAAAGAATATTTTGGTTTATGCTATCAAGATGACACGTGAGTATATGTGTTCTTAGAAAGGGGTTAAAAAAATAAATAATCTATGTGCTGAGACAAGCAGGAAGAAAAAGATGATAGGCTGTAATGGACAAAATATTTCTGGGGACACCCATTTGAAGATTTCTAGTGATTTATCCTGATAAAGTGTCTGCTCTGGTATCATGTGTTTGTATCTTTGTGTATCTTTGTTAGCTAAAAGGCAAATGTTTGGTGTTGTGTTTCAAATTTACACAATTGTCAAAAAAATCCAGTTATTAATAAATAAAGTCTGCTTTGGACCAGTTTTAGTGAATGACTTTAAAAGAACCTGTTGAAAGTAAAAAGTGGCAATTAGGGCTTCTTAAAATTTGAATAAGATGTGGCCTAGATAAAGACAGAAGAGGGTCAATTACTTTAATTGGAAATTGAATCGGAAACCATTTCCGGAAACCGTTTTCACTGAAGCTGAAAATGAAGGCCTAGTCTGGTGCATCTCTATTGAAAACAGAGAAAGAAAAGAAAACCATTATTGTGTAGACAGATATTTAATCCCCACGAAAAAGTTAGAAACTCGGTGGAGCAATGCTAATGCTGGAGACGTAGGAGCATGAACATGTTAGAGCACTTAATGAATATAAGTAGTGGCATAGCCACCCACATATCAGCGGGACAAGGGGGTCTGATTCATACCTGTAGGAAAACCTAGATAGGTAAGCACACAAAAGGGGGGAAAGGGTCATAGATAAGACTTGGAAAGGGGAATCTAAGAGTCTCACTTATATATTTAGCAGGGCAAACAAGGACAAGATGAAGGAGGGGGGGGGGGTTATGATTCACATCTGATGGGTTAGCACATGAGGGAAGGGTCATACACAAACCATTGAAAAGAGAAGGGGGTGTCTAAGAGATTCATGGTTGGAGAGTGTGTTGTACAAGTTGTCATTGATCATGATATGTTAGATATCAAGATTCAGTGAGGGGATCAGATTAAAATCTTTGATGGAAGACAAAGTGGATCAGAACAGATCAAGGATAAATGCAGTGAGAGGTTAGAAATAGGAGGAGAGGGTCTAGTTGTATCTGCGGAGATTCATTGTGGTTGTATTTTTGGGTGCATCAGACAAGATATTTGAGATACCAGAAAGCCTCAGAGGGGTGGAGCCACTGTGGAGGTTTGTTCAGGGTCATAGGATATCACATTGTTCAGAGGCACAAAAGTTCTCTTGACATGCTAGGGAAACATGGAATATTGTTGGGTTTTAAGTATATCAGGTATTCAATAGAATTCCTGAACTAATTAGTGTATTAGACTATTAGTAATTAACAATTGCATTTATGTGACCCAGCCATGACACACCATGTTGAAATGTATAACATGATTGGATATTTATGGATATATACATATACACACCTATGAGCTTTTAAGAAGATTTGCAGTATGTACATATGCATTCGTTTGATCACGTTATTATAAATCACACATGTACTTTTGACATGAAATTTCAAAATTGTTTAAATTTGGAAAGGCGTGCTGGCAGTAACAACAAAAGTGAAATTTAAAGCTATAAGATCTTAGCTTTATTTACACGTACCCCGTTACATTAGTTACAGAAATAATGTCTCTGTTGTGTATGGAATAGTATTTGTATACCCTTTGACATCATCATTCCAATCATAGCTTTAAAAGTAAAATTTAAATAATACTAAAACTATTCCAAGCATGAAATATTATATAGAAAATTTAGGACCCCTGCACTTACTGAGGTAGTTAGTTATGGGACCTGTGTACGAATAGAAGTACATATTTACTATAGAGGAAAACTATGAATCAGTTTTTATTTCATGTTTTTATTATCATTACACCCTTATGTCCATTGACGTCACCAACAAGCTGTGGTTTGTCCTGATAGGGGGATAAATGAAAACGTCTTAAATCTGATTGGATATTCCCAGTGTGACATAGCTTTCTGTGGCTGGATTTTGTGAATGATTTGGAGATACTAGGAACTGAATACTTGACATAGTCACAAGGTTTAGTGGTTGTCCACTACAGCCACTTCTATTGTTGGATATAGGTGAATTTTGTTTCCTTAGTGAGTGGACTTGCTAATAGATTTGTTGTGTAGGTTAGGGCAGTTGTTTGTACACGATTTCTGACCAACACCTACATGTTCTACAGTATTGTTCAGAAGGTTGGACATAAACCAGTGTTGTGTACTGTGTAACAAATTTTAGGACTTAATTTTCCCAATTTCTGTAGCAAGTGATAGAATTGCAGGTAGGAGATTAGAATTTTCGTCCAAGGTATTTAAGTCCTTATTAACTGATGAAATATCTTAGATATGATAGTGGAATTATAAATGTAGCATTATTATAATTATTTAAAATGAGGATCCCTAGATCATAAAGAATGACTTTTCTATGTATGAATTCTGAAGTTAACAGCAACTGCTCTGTGTAGAAAGAATTTACTAACTGCTTATTTTGATGCACCAGAAGTTCCTTTATAATTAAGGGAATTTTCAACCATAAATCAGAGCATTAAATTATACAGGGCTATGAATAAAGAGAGAATACTGATGTTGTGTGTTTATCTACTGATGCTCATAGCCGTTGTAAAAAGGTTTCATTGTATTTTTTTGAAATTTCATCGCTATCTGTATTAAACTTTAAATAGTCTACACTACTTTGTGCATTTACATGGCTATCTGCCATTTTAAGATATTCCTAGGCATGTTCAGTACATTCAGGTTTGTCCATACATCACTGTATGTTGTTGGGAGTCAGTACACCTCTACAGTCTATTCCCTCCTTTGATACCGTGATTTAATGTTACGTTTACTCTCGGAAGGGACAAGACCCTGGATGAAAGAAAGAGTCTAACCTCTATGACCTTTACAAGGTCACGCAAGTTAAAATGGCTTTGTGTCTGTTAATGTAAATAGATGGAGGGCATTCCAAGGTCGTATGATAAATATGCTTGTCTCCTTGATGTAGCATTATATGGAGGTCATGATAGTTTTGGGCGGGACTATCTTTTGAAGATGAATAATTGTGTAATCTGCACCTTTTTGTTATTTATGATAAATAAGTTTTTGAGATTTATGAAGTCCTTGAGGGACCTGAATTTTGATTTAAAGCCAGTGAATTGTTTTCTTTTCTTTTAAAATAAAATGATTATACTAATGTATCTGAGAAAAAGTGACCTCCTTGAGCTCATCTTAAATTTTATGATATTCAGTGGATTTATAGGTGAGGTAAACTGTACATTAACGTGTTTTCAACAAAACTGATGTACTCATAGATGTTTTGTAGACACTATGATTTTTGCCTGTTTTACATAGACTGGATGATTCCTTAATTAACACAGTGCTGAGTGCTTTATGTATGTGCATGCTCGATTGGTCAGACAGACAGACTGTTTAAATGACCAGCCAAGAAAAACCTGCATTAACATGCTTTATATAAAGTACATCTGGTTGTACATGGTCAATTGGCCGAACTCTATTGTGAATGATTAAAAGAATGTTTGTGCTAACAGGTATATATGTATTAGAAATGTATGGCCTCAGCCATGTTTGATTATGGGGAGGGTATTTATACTAGACTTATTTTTCTGTTTACAGCGGGCACCAGAATTGGCTGAATTTAGAAAAGAGAGTTTTAGAGCACGAGTTTGTCCGCAGGGCTGGAACACTGGTTTTAATTTTTGCTGTTAGGTGAGAATATAAATTAAAAAAAAAAATGTTTGAAAATTGATTGATGATTTTTTTTTTCAAAATTGTTATTTAAGTACTTGCATGGTCAAAAGGAAAATTAATTTATAGTACCGGTATATATTAAATGAATATTTCTAATGCAAAGTCTCAGAATAAAAAAAATATATATATCCATGATAACGGACTTATATTGTAAATTCAGTTAGGATACTTTAAAGACTGAGTAAATCTCTCATCCACTTTTTTGCAGGTTTTATGTTGAGAGTATAGCCTCACTGAGAGATATTCAGACTGTTGAAGTTTTTTTCTTAAATGCCAAACAAGCAATATTTAAGGTGAGTTTATTTCTATTCTGTCTAATCCTATAACAGATAGAAGGGGGGATGAGTGGCAAATATGTTTAGTTAAAAAAAACAAACAAACATGAAACACCTCCCACCTTCCCTTCTAAATCACTAAAACATGAAACATTGTGATTGTTAATTTATTTTGCTCATCAGAGAAACTGCTCCATGTTCCAAAAACTGAAATATATGCAACAATCACTTCCTGTCTGCAATGAGAAAATCTTAAAAAAATGACAGTTTTTATTCCCTTGATTGAAGACTGCAATATTGGAGGATGGCTCATTCCCAAAAATTTGGAAACATTTTTATTCCCCAGCATAAAGTGCTTAAAGTTCTCACCAAACTTGATGGAGTGTAAAATGTTAAACTGTTCCCAATTCATCACCATGCAATTCAGAGCATTGAAGTCATTTGAATTCACTTTCAAAGCAGACACACCAGTCATAAATTGCCTCAATGCATGTGAATTTCTGCAGTAATATGAGGTCTTTTATGATTTGTAGAACATGAAAAGTTAATTTGATGAAATTGACGTTGTTTTCAGAGAATTATATGTTTGCTGTTGTTGCTGTTAAACAACTTCAGAACCCCCCCCCCCCAAAAAAAAAAAAAATATATATATATATATATTCTATAATGTTTAAAATCATTTGTAGACCAGATTTCTCCATATGTTCTTTATCTGAAGATATATTTACAACAGCAATACAAGAACAATTGGCTAAAATGTTACCTGTCTTTGTTTGCATGCAGATATGTCATCTTGTAAACACACATGAGAGGAACCAAAAACATCATAGTCTTTTATGAAGCATTTTAAAGATCAGAAAAGAAAAGAAGCATTATTGAAACTCAAGCATGCATAAATTTTGTATATAATTTTGTATTTGATGTATATTAGTATCAATATGGCTTTATTTGACAAACCAGGTGACATGTTTTAAAAGGGTTCTGTGCACTGGTAAATTTTCTAACTTAATTGTATCATGAATCAAGATAGATTTAAGAAGAAAAAAAAGATTAAAATTTGTGTAATATTTTGTTACAGGGGCAGATAGAGTGCGACAGTGAGACGATATTTGAATTAGCAGCCTATGTTTTACAAGTCACTCATGGAGATTACACCAGGTAAGGGAGTTAATCTGTAAAGTAACAAGCAAAGGGACGTAACTGATTTTGAGGCGTTAAAAAAAAAGAATACAAATTAAGTGCAAGGAATTTTGAGGGCAAATTTTTGGCTCTTCGTTTGATGTAAAAATCCAAACACATATGAAATAGTTAAAAACTTGAAATGATCGATATCTACTGACTGGATTGAAGCCAGTATTGGTTTTGATTTATTGCTTGTTTTTAGGAGGCGAAGGTGATAAATTAAACCAGTTTTTCTGAATGTCATCGTTTTTTGGTGAACTTTCATGAAATTTTTCATGTCAGATAAAAACTGAAATGATTTGCTTTGGAAATCCCGAATGAGCCTTACACAGACTTAATCACAAAGACGTATGTTGATGATTCTAAAGCATAAAATAAGTGAATTTGGTATTTTATGTAGTACAGTACCATCCCATGTTTTCGTAAACAAACTTTACCGTAATAAAGGACAAATCCTAAAATTGAGGAAGTTTGGGAAAAGAAATCAAAACCTTCCAAAGACTTTTATTTATGCTTTAAAACGTGTGCTTCATAGTCTGTCAGTTGATTAGTTTAAATTCTACGATAACATGAGATTCTGCTAAGTAAGTCACATTTTGTCACATGCAAACCTATATTTCTTATACTTTAGCCATTTCTCAGACATGAACATGTCTATCACCTAGTCTCTAGGGTCGTAGGAAATGGGCTTCACTTTGGCTGCTGCTGTTGGTTAACCATTGTTTGTACTGTATATATAGTATCATTCAATGTCATCATCATATTTTCTTGCACACTGTACGGAAATTGAAATCTCGTTTATGTAGCACTGTATGCAATTAGATATGATAATGAGACAAGCATCTCACAAATTCTAGATAAAAAAAAATCATGTAAGAATTAAAAGAAACTAGAGCAGAGCTCGTTGCAAAGCAACGAGTAGGTCTTCCGTTGGAGCAGCGAACAGGAAGAAGTGACCTTGAGTCAAGGTCATGCCACATTCTAAGGTTATAAGCAATCTTGTAAGGGGTATCAACTTGCAATGTCTCACCAGTAGAAAGACAGTTAAGGAATGTTATTTCTCCGTTGATGACCTTGAACTCGTTCAAATGACCTTGCATCAAACCATGACACACTCCGGTTATAAGAAAACCCCATCTATGTGTAACCGACTCGACAAGTTAACACATGTTCTTTCAGACCATTCATCCAGTCAAAACATTCTTTCCTTAGTGACCCTAAATTTAATCAACATGGCCGTAGGAACCGAGGGGGGCATGCCCCCCCCCCAATAATTTTGCCGATATATAGATTACAATAGTAGACATAGATACTATAGCTTGTGCCACCTCAATAAAAACGTCTGATAACCTTCTTTTTTTTTTTTTTTTTTTGCTTGTCAAGGAATTTTTGGTAGTTGGTGACCTTTTTTTTTTTTGCTTGTCAGGAAATTTATGGTAGTAGTGCCCCCTCATCTGTCAACTGAAAATGTATGGCTGTGCCCCCTCCCCCCCCCCCCCAAAAAAAAAAAAAACTAACTGAATTTGCTTCCTATGGGCCTGATCAAGGCAATGATACACTCTGTATGATATCAGCGATACCCTTTTGTGTGTTTCGGACTTGACAAGTTCACAGTTTGCATTTATTGCATGATAGTGAGGGAGACATGAAGATTTCTTCGCCCATAAAAAATCATATTCCTCGAGGGCAACATGAAGATTTCTTCGCCCATGAAAAATCATACTCCCCGAAGGCAACGCCAGAGGGAAATATGATTTTTCATTTGCGAAGAAATCTTTATGTCTCTATTATGCAATAAATTGTTTATGATACCGAATTAACCAAAATGCAGGAATTACAAAGGAGATCCAATGAATAAAGCAAACATGCATTTGATGAGAACGATATGAAAGAGATGTAAGTTACAGGTACACCAATAGCCTCGTTTCATTAAAAAAAAATTCCAACGTGACAAGTTTGTGTGATCACACCAGTAACATTCAGACACCATTACATTTTTACACATTTAAATCGACATAATCAATCAACGATAATATGTTGACGGTGCGACCGTTGGGCGAGTGCATTGTTCACTTAATTTTAAGATCCGCCTCTTCAAACAGCACGAGACATTTGGAACGTCTAGACTGTGACGTCTCATGGCGTATGTTAGCTGTACTTCCATAAACGAATTTTGAAAAGTGCAAACATTTAAACAAAGAACGTTTAATCTACTATCTGTATGCAATTCCATTAATTAAGGTGATTTTTTGGGGTGAATTTTTAGTTGTTGTTACCGCGCGAACGAAGTTAGCAGCGTCGCTATAAACAATCTAACTCCTCACTCGTTTAATTGTGACGTCACAATCGTGAAACACGACGTTTTGTTGCAGGGCAAACATGATGGACACGTGACTTTCTCGGCCAATCAAATTCTATTTTACTAGTGATTTTTCACTTGTAAGCTAGTTTTCACAGAGGTATAATAAACGTTTTTTTAGACCATACATCGAAATAAATTATCATAATTTCTATAGTCGTAATTTATTAGGTTCAACTCACTGCTTTAAAGGATCATTGTAAATGTTTTATGCCCGATTTGGATACTGAACAACGTGTGAATTTTTAAACACTGATGCCCCCATATGGCATCTTATGGCAAAAGTTAAAGTTTCTCAAATGCAAGTCAAACTCCATGGTCAAGATCAAAAGATAAAAAAATGTTATTACCCAAATAAAGGTCTTGAACAAAGAATATACTGTGAAATATATACTAGTATAGCAGCAACAGTTTAAAAGTTATTGCCAAGGTTAATTTCTTTAAAAGGTCAAACTCCAAGGTCAAGGGATCATAATTGTTTGTACTTGAGGGAAGGTCTTAATTGTTACAAGGAATACACATATGGTTTTAAAAAAGCCTTAGCACCAACTGTTCAAAAGTTAAAACCAAGGTTAAAGTTTTTCAAAAGTAGGACATACTCAAAGGTCAAGGTAAAATGGTCAAAATTAAAGGTATACAATGACAGGCCTTGTCACAAGAAAATTACCTATGTAATATAAAAGCCCTAGTACTAGTCATTCAAAAGTTATTGTCAAGGCTAAAGTTGTTTAAAAGTTGGTCAAACTCCAAGATCAAGGTGAAATGGTCAAACATATTTATACCCAAGGAGGAGACTTATCACAAGGGATACAGATGTGAAGTATAAAAGCCATAGCACCAACTGTTCAAAAGTTTTGGCCAAGGTTATAGTTTGGTAAAATTTTGCGAAAGAGGATCAAACTCCAAGTTCAAGGTCAAGAGGTCAAATATGTTGGTACCTGAAGGAAGTCCTTGTTACTAGGAATACACATAAGAAATATGAAAGCAGTAGTTCCAACCAATCAAATTTTATGGGCATAGTTTTTTGCGGACAAAGAGGCTAACACTGTCTAACAGATAAATAGACAGGTGGACAGGACAAAAACTGTTTGCCCCCCGGATCTTCGATTACAGTAGCATAAAAAAATGTCGGCGTCTTTGGGTTTTCGCATTGGCCTTAAATCTGAAAATCCAAAGGATTACAAGGTGCATTACGATACGCTTTCACATCATGTTCTATAACCCAGAGCATATTGTCTGCAAAGATAAATATTTAATTCAGTATTTAATTAGCTATGCATAATTATCTATGTTGTTTTAAAAAGAAAACATAAAAAAAATATTTTTTTTATATTTTTCGATGTAGAGATATGCAGAAAATGTTTTCCTATTTTAAGTCCTATCGCAATACATATTTAAAAGAAAGTGTGTGTTGGAGGGGGGGGGGGGTCATTACATTTTTGCTGGGATTCGCCTATGTATGACCGTAGAGAAACAAAGAGTGGGGAGGGTGCAAGCAGCAACTAAATCAAAATTTACATATTAAAACTACAGCAAAAGACTATTTTCAGAAGGTCTGCCCCCCCCCCCCCCCCCCCGGTACAATCCGTACAACGGACCTGTGAAAAAAATACTGATCCTACATTCAGAGTCCCAGGGCACCAGGAAAGAGTGGCAAAAAGAGAATATCGGTTTATTTCAGTCTATAAGTCGAATCAAAATATCTTTTCCTCAAGAGTCTTCTTTCTTTGAGTTCATCCCAGTGATCGTGTGATTTATTTCATTTATTTTACGTTCTGTACTGGACTTGGAAAATGAGGACATCTTTAGGTTCCTGAGCTGGCCTTGAAGCCCGCAGAACAGATTTTCTGCTTTATGATAAATTCAAGTGATATGTAATCCGGTATTAATTTTGTGTTGCTTTTTTTAATGTTAATTTCATCAAGAAATATGAAAAATTAATGTTTTAACTATACACAGTGAGGCATTTTTTGTGTGGAACGATTATCAAATGGGGTTTTCACGATTTTTTCATATGGTACACATGATGAGTAAGTGCAATAAATATAATTTGTGGAAAAAATGTCCAACAAGCCCCGGGGTTGAATATCGGGGGGGGGGGGGTCTGTCCACAAGTACCTTTTGTCAAGCCTGTAGAAAGCAATTTCAGTTTTTTTGGAGGGAGGGGGGCAAATAGAAATTTCAACAGGTACTTGTACTCGATTTTTTCCTATGGTACACATGATGAATAAGTGAAATAAATATAATTTGTGGAAAAAAATGTCCAACAAACATCGGGGTTGAATTTGGGGGGGGGGGGATCCTGTCCACAAGTACCTGTGGAAATTTCTTGATACGTAAACAGAATTTAAAAGCATGTATAAGACATCAATTGAAGGGGAGAGGGCACGGCCGTAATTAAAAGTTACACAGAGACTAGGAAGGAATGAACTGTCATTAAATTTTGGTTAAGAACTATTACCTAAACTCTTCACTTTCACATTTTCAATTACAGATTCTTGTTTTTTCAAAAGCTACACATGTACATTGATATGTATCTATTAGATGCATAAATTATGTTATTAATCATTTTATCTTAAAGGAAAAGTAAAAATCTCAATCAAACTTGTTCCGCATA